TTTCTACTCGTACATACCTTGTTTCTGTTGTCATGTTCAATGCTGACACATTCTGCCAATGTTGTGAGCAAGATATCGGTACAGATATAATTAAATAAGGTATTTTCATGTTGTGCTGGGCTTGATCCGATCTAAGTAGATGCAAAGTACGCTTTTCTACAGCTAAGAACGGAATGTTGATGTGTTCATGGCCGTTCCGTGTTTGTACAGGGTGTTTCACTAAAAGTGTCAAAAAGTAAAAGGTCATAATGCACATAATAACAATGTTTTCTAAGGAAATTTGCATATCATTTCATCCGCAATTGTTGGACATTTGAATATATAAAAACGATATCACCGTCACTCAAACCTATTCCACACATCTGCCCCTTCTTTTGATGCACCGTTTCGGCACGTGTCCGGAGGTGCCTCACAGCCCGTTTTCATCTTCAGCGTCCAGACTGTCGGCAAAGCCTTGAATTGTGCTCTTCAGCTCCCGAAGTGATGCGACTTGAGTCTTCCTCAGCTCTGCGAGAGCTACTGAGTCACTGACCAAACCAGAGGCTTAGCGGTGACAGATCGGGGCTTCGCGCTGGCCAGGGGCGGGCGGCAAGGCAGCTGATTATTCGGCCCAGGAGCTTCTGGTCCAGTCAGTTCCTGGTGGCTACAGCCGTTACAGTGGTTGATTTTAATAACTTGTAAGGCCCTGGCTATTTCTGATGTTGGAATTAGCTTCTTGTTATCTTCAAAGGCCCTCAAAAAGACCCTGACCTTCTCAACGGTTTCCGCCGAGAGGTGGGGGCAACCCCGCCTTTTTTGGACTGGAACTGGCATCGAAGGAACCCTTTTAAACCTCTCAACAAGCCCTTTGAAACTTTTATAATCTGGAACGTAGCGAGGTGAGAGAGTAAAAAGTTTCCTGAAAAGTCGGCATACGGTTTCAATGTTTCTGATGGCACCAAATGTACATAAGTGTAATTCATCCCTCCTGTTGCGGTGTAAATAACCTGTTCTTGTTCTGCATAAGGAAAAAATGACTAGTAACTTTGGCCTACTGCCCTCGCTCCGTATAAGTGTAAAATATATCTTAAATGGATAAATAATAAATGTCCAAAAATTTGCAACAAAGCCACGTGCGCAGACACGTGATTTGCATATTCTATATATCTTTCATAGGCATTTACTTTTTGACACTTTTAGTGAAACACCCTGTAGGATGCCTTACATAGGTGCGCACTGCTCGCTAATCTAATTATGCTATGAATCGATACACTCAATTTCCACACCGGATTCAAGCAGCTGATATTTCGCGAAAACTATCGACAGCCTCCGCTCCAGCCGGCTGATTCCCGTTTCAGTTTTGGGAGCGTCGAGCTCTGGTGGCAATCACCGGCCGACTGTGGTGCAGACCCAGTTCACAGACCTGCAGCTAACGCAATTTAGACAGCGCTAATGTCGCACTGGGATCGCGGCGAACGCCAGTGCCGCCCCCCGGGGCGCAATCGAGTCATTGATGAGAGCGGGAGATAACAGCGGGTAGGCAGAATGGTGGATGAGAATGCGTTGGGGCACTTACTGGGCGACTATGTTAGGTGTCGCGAAGGTGGCCGTGCCTACTTGGAACTGTCACCCAGGCTTGATATTTCATCTGTCGAAGAACCTTTTGCTGTTGTCAACTGCCAGTTATTTTATAATTTCTGCTATGCTTTAAATAAGAATGCGGATAAAAACAGCTGAAGCTAGATCCCTGGAAGTGCATAAGTACATACATGGGCATAGTCATTTGTGGAATGTTGATCGAGTGACTAACTATGCCTGGTTATGGTTTTTGGGAGCCATCGCCGTGCACACCGCAGTGTGAGCGCGTTCGGGTATTTCCGTTGACCGGGCCATGCCGCTGTTTATGCTGGCCTTATAGGCGCGCTGTCGCCATCCATGATAATGCGTCATTCCCGTAAGTTGATTACGCGTGACACCAGCTGAGCCCGTGGTGTGCGGCCCTCCTATCAGTCTCCACACCAGTCACCAAACGACCGCAAACGACTCTCACAATATTGCGCGGACCGTGAACACCTCTGGACCAAACGTGCTAATGGCTAATTCTGAAAAGTAACCGTGGCCCCAAATGCATGAGCAAGAAAATGCATAGGAACGGGTGCATTTACTTGGACCTATCAGGAACGGATTTTCCCATCAGCTCCAAATTGTAATTAGCTTGTAATACGCTTATTTCGTTTGCAATTCGTTTGCAATGCTTCGCTCATGTATCTCCGGTCATTGAATATGGTTTGTTGTTATTAGCGATGTTCTTCTTCATGTTTATTGTATTCCTTTTATTATTTTATTCCCCTAACTGACGTGACGCTGTAGGCAACGTGTGCGATCTATGGTGCTGGAGGAATTGAAACGTATGTAAGATGGGATTTTGCAGGATATGGGGAGAATAGATCGTTTTGGTTCGCGGAGACTTCTCTTTTATGATTTTTCACCGCAAGCTATTTCGGGCATTTTGTGGTTAAGTTGGCTGAAGTGGATTTGAGATTGATTCCAGAATGCAAAGGCGGAGCTGAGACGCCTATTGCGGAATGGCTGGCAAAGTCGGGCTTGTATATAAGCTGCACGGTGTAACTGAGGAGCTCCACGAAGTGATACCGTTGAGACTGACGAGAGGGACGCTCGCCCGTCTTTCAGAAACTACCGGAATGTGTTATGTGATAAGGATGAATTGTAGGGAAAATTAAGGCGGTGCCTAGGACAGCATTTGTTGACAATTCATTTGTGGCTTTAGAAATAAAATCGTCAGCTGTAAATTATCACCATCTGAATCAGCTGACGTCTATCTAGCCCGCGCCCCGTAGGGCTACCGGCGGACCCTACCACCCGTAGGGGGGGGGGGGGGGCGTTTCGGCCCCCCCCTAAGATCTCGGAAAGTTACCGGCCGATTTTCAAAATTCAAACGGCGTTCGATAGCCCCACCCGGGAACTACCTTGTGACCAAATTTCATTGACCTAGGTCAAACCGATGACGTCACAGGTCAGGTCAAATGTCATATTTTCACCGTTCACAGGCAATTCAAGAAATGTGCTGTGAAAGCGAGTAAATTGGTAATTTATTGAAAACCATCGATGGTACAATGTTCGTCAAACACATACTTTGCTATCTGAGGTCACTGATACCAGGTCAGGTCACAGCGAGGTCAGGTCACCGGGGGTCACAATATGAATGTGTCGTGTGATACATGTTTTATGGTCCATTTTACATGACAAATGCGATTATGTGGGTTAGGCAACCTTTGGGGCCAGCCTAGGTCACGTTTTTGTGAAGGTCAGGTCAAGGTCAGGTCAAATTAGGTCAAATTTCAAAGTTGATATTTTTGCATAAAATGGGTATCGATTCGATGCAGCTCGTCACGGGGAGTCTAATGGTGGTCTTCGTTTTACTCTACGAGTTCTAGAATTGCCAAAAATTGAGTTTGAAAATTTGACGTCATCATTTTTGAAGTTTTTTCGCTATAACTTGGCCAAAAAACGAGGTATCGATCTGAAATTTGGTATGTAGATAGAAGACGGTAGGCACTATCACATATATTCCGGTTTTTTTTCGAAACTCAAAAAACTTTTTGGATTTTTGGCGAATATATAAAAAAATGTTTTTTTGATTTTTGGGGGTCAAAACTCAAAAATTTCAGAAATTCGAGATAGCAGTTTTGTAGCCCTGTCAATTCTACACCTTTTATGTCTTGATCATTTTTCTGTATCTTCAAAGCTGTAGTCCTGACAGGTCTTCTCGCGAAGGTCTTTTTTCGGTCGAAAATGACAGAACATGACGTCACTCTGACGTCATTTGTGGCCAACCTATCATAGCCTCTGGAAAAAATTTTTGGTCACAATGTGTAAAATTGATGCCCGGAGGGGTCCTGAAAGTTTGGTGGCGATATCTCCAGCCGTTTAGGAGATATCGACCGAAAAGGACAGGGGGGGGGCCGTTTCGGCCCCCCCCCCTACGGGGCGCGGGCTAGCGGAACTGCGCCGACTCTAGCCTTTTTGGAGGGTTTGCTAAAGCCTGGGACACATCTTTCAAGCGTGCATATCACAAATTGACTCATACACACTGAGATGCGTGTCGGGAGCGGAAAATATGCGATGTTTTTTATGGAAAGTGCTGAGAAGGCATGGACCTAAATTGCGAATGTGAATCAACTGATCCCACTACATGCCCTATCTATATGAACACAATTGAACCAATTATGTTGTACATCATTCCATAGAACTTTCCAGCTCAGCTCTTTGTGATCTTCTAACGCCATTGTACGTTCATATATTGAGTTGGTCTTCATTATTGTTTGTGACATGAGAGAGGTCAGCCTCGTGGAATAATTGTGTTCATAGCGTGCTTCATGCTCCTTGCATCCTGGGACGGCGCTCTAGCGTGCTCGTGTCATGGTGAGTTCCGTCCTGGCTGCATGGAGCGGAAGCTTTTACACGGTCTCTCAAGAGACCGCGGCCTGATATTCAGACAGCACAAAGATGGAACGGCTGAGACAATCTCTGAGCAGAAAACGAAAAAAACAGAGGAAGAACATGAAAGGGAGAGGGATAGAGAGAGAGAGAGAGAGAGAGAGAGAGAGAGAGGGAGAGAGAGAGAGGGAGAGAGATAGAGGTAGAGATAGAGATAGAGATAGAGATAGAGATAGAGATAGAGATAGAGATAGAGATAGAGATAGAGAGAGAAAGAGAGAGAGAAATATAAAGGGGAGAGAGAGAGAGAGAGAGAGAGAGAGAGAGAGAGAGAGAGAGAGAGAGAGAGAGAGAGAGAGAGAGAGAGAGAGAGAGAGGGAGGGAGAGAGGGGGGTTTAAGAGTGGTCGGAGTGTTGAGTGTTGTCGAAAATAGATCTGCTTTTTATTTTCATTTTCCATTTTCTAGTGCACATGCTCAAAATGGGTCAGGGAATCCAGAAAGCCAGATGACAGCCCCTCACGGCCACCAGCCGTATAACCCCACCCCCTCTCTGTACCCACAGCAATGCTCTGACCCGCGCGTCTCGGACAAGGAGACCTACCCGACGACGGCTCGCACCCGTCCGCCGTCCACCAAGATCTCCAAGTCGGTGGTATCGCTGCTGCTGAGGTTCGGCTGGGACCGTATCGTCATGGTGCGCTCCACAAAGAAGGAGTGGAGCATGATCGCCGACGCCATCAGGGTGAGGATGACGTTAATTATCCCTGGGTTATAAATCACAACAGTTTGTTATCGAGATACCTTCATTGCCACTAAATCCGACTTGCCACAAGCACCAAACAAACAAACCTAAAATCAGTTCATGGTATCTTGTTTTGTTCACTACGTTTCATTCAAACCGCGACGAGAGAACCAGACATCGATCTCTTCTCAAGTCCTTAATTACCCCACCTTTGGCGCAAACATTTCATCAGCGTTTTGTGTAACTACACACCAGAGCTGGGCAAGTGCGTTCCTTTAGTGCGTTCCTGCGTTCTTCCGTACGTACGCACCGCCCTTTTTAGGAACGCAAGAACGCAGGAACGCAAAGTTTTTCAAAGGAACGCAAGTAAGAGGAACGCACCACCCGAAATTTTGAAGCGTTCCTGCGTTCTTGCGGAACCACCCGAAAAATCATATTGCTGCCAACGACCTCTGTGTCAAATGTTTGAATCTCGAGTACGTGTGTTTGCCGGTAGAGGCGCCACTTGTCGGTCGAATCGAGGAAGGCTTGTTTAGATTTAGTGGTGATGTTCACTATTCGATTCGGTTTCAGGCATTAAATGTGTAAAGTAAATATGATAACTTTTACTTAGATACATCTTTCAACTTAACTATTGTTTTTAAGCAGGTCGTATTTTTTTGAAAACCCTACGGATGATATTGGTAAAACGTATTTCAGATATTCGATTCGGAAAAGAGATGTCGAGCTGCTTTTCGGCCCCACGTCGCCATTCTGGGTATTCTGTGATCGATTCCCCCCGTGTTTGGTTGGGCCCGCGCCGCGTGGTTCGGCGGTATTTCTTTGTCCACGACTTCGGTTGTGAAGAACACGCCTGTAGTGTTGGACTGGCGCGATTTGCCTACTTTGTCCGCTACAGTGTTGCGTTGCACTGATTTTGGTATGATTTGCTGCTTGGTAGAGCCAGAATACAATACGGGTTAATAGTTTGGGACGCAGGAACGCAGGAACGCTAACGCACCGAGCGAAAAAAAATTGAGGAACGCTATTCCAGGAACGCACTAACCGCGGCCGGAGGAACGCAGGAACGCTAACGCACTACCGAAAATCGAGGAACGCGCCCAGCTCTGCTACACACAAAGCCGCGCAATCTGCGCCTGACGCGCACACCCCCAGAGCCAGTGGCCATTCAATCCCCATAAGGCATGTACAGAAGCTCTGTGTGCGTCTTGTCATCTGCAGTCTCGAGCCAACGCCCGGTGACGTCATAGAATTGTTTGCCTCGCACCTCAATGGATGGCTCTGTCACCTCGGGCACAGCTGCAAAGACTCTACGCAATTACCATATACTAACATAAACGTTTTTTGTTTCATACTAACTACTTGCTGGTTTTTGGTCAGAAGTCCCTCCAACTGTTGTGTTTTTCACCATGTTTTTCACATAACTTTGCGCACTTTCAGTTAACTCGAAGTTCTGGTTCGCTTTGTTCACATCAATCTTGAATGTGTGTACCTTCCGCATTAACAACAACATATATAATCAACGTAGTACACTATTTATCAGAAAGTGCGTTGCTGTCCTAATGCCAAGACATCATCGTCCATGCTTCTGCTATCATCATGCTTTTATTTTCTTGTAACGTTAGATAGTTTTTGCATCCTATATTACGCAGCTGATAAAGAAAGGTTGCAATGGCATCTGCTTGTCCAATATAAAATCTGTTAAATCCTAAATGCAGCAATTAATAATCACCACCAGGTCTCCCCAAACACCAGGCAGCTGTTCAGCTGACAAAGGCACCTGAACCCTTACTATCTCCAATTAAAGCCTGTTTTCCGAGCCGTCCCGCCAAAAGAAATGCAAAACGCTGTTTCCTTGCCGGAAAAAAGGAGTTGCTTTATTCCCTAGAGGCGGCTTGGATTGAGCGCACAAAACGGTTGCTGAATCGAAAGAATATTGTGATAAATTAGCGTTGCTTACTGTAAAGTAGCTTTCTTATCTTTCTTGCTTTGGGACAAACATTTTCGCCTGACAATAAAGTTCATAGAAGATAGATACTAACTTATGCATGAAATCATAGTTTATAGCTGGCCTGTTTTGAGACTGAAATCCGAGAAAAGTTCCTGTATAAGAACGCGCGGTGATGCTGAAATGGTTGCGGTGATGTCATATTTCAATGTGTCTCTGTTTGGCAGGATCTGGCACTAGCCCACGGAGTGGACGTTCATAAGTCTCACAACATCGGAAACTACCTCTCCTTCTCACACAAGGACACGCTGAATGAAATCGCTCGGACCCGGGAGAGCACTCGAGGTGAGTCTGAATGAACCCCCTTCTCTCTATCTCTCTTTCCCACTCTGTCTTTCTCTCGGCTATCGATTGAAAGACGCAATTATATAATGCTGTGACGTTAAATTGTTTATGCAGTTGGTTGCGTCTGATGTAAGAGGTTTGTTTCCCGAAACCACTCTAATAATGTTTATCCGTCTTTACTCCCTATGTCGATAGATTCTCTTCTTTTTATTTTTATTATATTGTATTATATTATATTGTATTATTTTTCCTTTTTTTTTGCTCCGGAATGCGGAGACCATCGTAATCGCTACTTTGCTCGAAACCGTACTCGTAATATTAGCGGGTTCCATGTTATATTTTAGCCATAGATACCAGACGATATCAGTCTGCAGTCGTTCCGTCGCTGGATGACTCTTCAGGACGCGTTTGCGGCTCACACATTCAGTGATCGCATCGTTATTCATGAGGCGACCCTCGATTGGCGCAGCTCGAGCCCGGCGGCCGTGCGTCACGTCTTTCGCCAGGTGTGTGCTGCTATTTCAATAGCGGATCGGTGATCTACGGTGGCCCTACGGCACTTGGCATGCATTTGGTTGAGCCGTCCAGCGAAAGGGGAGATTTAGCCGATCCGCATCAATTGAAATAGATCGAGATGCCACGAGGGAGGTCAGAGGTGTGAGATGGAGGATTCGGGCGCCGAAACTTTTAGTTACATGTCTGTGCAATATGCTGTCTTCATTTTGACGGATTTATGTTTTTATATCGTTTGCAATCTCTCAGAGTTTCTTATGTTTGCGTGTAATATTTTGTTATTGATAACTGTCTCTTCTTTCAAAACGATATTCTATTTTCCTTTTTGAAAGTTGAATGTTATTTTGTGATGTAAGAAGAGTTCATACAATGATGGGATGCATTATCACATAAAGCTGAATCTAATTTTTAAATATGCCTGCTGAAATTCGACAAATGATGTACGAAATATGCGTCGTAGGCTGTACCCAGACGGCACCAACTGCAGGGCACTGTATGCCGCCCGTACCGGTCGTTGCGTTTCCCTAAAACATTTACCACGTGGAGAACACGTGGTGGCGTGTTCCATGGTACTGTAACATTCTGGGACTCGTACTCTATGCATGTCATGGGACCATGAATCAAACCACATCAGTCCCAGACGTAACACTAACAAGGTATATCTGCAGTAGTATTCCGGCAGCCTTGAGTGGCTTGTGTTAGATTTTACATTGAAATACAACGTTCACATGTGTCATGTCCAGATATGTATGCACTTATGTGTTTGTTGCCACATCAACAACGCATATTGCATAGTTGTTAGAATACAACATTGAATGGGGGATCTCGTTAATAAAAAAACACACACAATCAATGTCAGTGTGCCAGCTATTATGTGGTTATGAATAACTGCCTAATAGCCTAATAACTGCCTATAGACGTAAAAGTAAATATTTAAACAGGAGAAAAACAGCTTGTAGCCGATGACCTACCAACCTAATCATTGATTGTGATCTATTGATCACGGGTTTGGCCATGATGCCCCATATCCTTCATTGTTCTGTTTCAGTCATTGCGTTGGCCTTAGACAAGAATGGACATGGAAAATACAGATATACATTCAACATCCACGTACGACGTACGTGCAAGTCGTGCATTCTACACGGGCACTACCACGGTGAAGGATTTTCTGTCATTTGATAAAAAACGGCAATGTTCATTGCTCACCTTTCAGACGGAAAAGGTGGCGGAATTCTGGACATTTGTCTCCTTCAATCAGTCGTGTTCAGTCTGCGCCCCATTCAGCAGTTTTGGGCTACCTAACGGCTCAGAGGGGCCACACGCGTCCGGTAGCATTTCTGAGCCATTCACCGGACACGCCACCAGTGATAAATGACCGCCCATTGCCAGCTGAGTGACCTTGTGACCGACCTCCGTAAAGACCGCCTCGGCCTGTGACCACTGCTGGCATTGCGAGTGGCCTCCGCAGCGATCGGTTATGGCATTTATGAACATGCTAGTAACGGCATCTAGTAACAGCTTATAGTAGTAATAGCGGCTTATAGTAACGGCTTATAGTAGTAGTAGTAGTAGCGGCTTATAGTAACGGCTTATAGTAGTAGTAGCGGCTTATAGTAACGGCATCCGATAACATTTCTGGTGAGGTAAGCGACCTTTGTAACGATGACCATCGACAAAACTAAGTGAATGGTGAGTTGTCTGCGATATGTTCCCTCTGACAAATAGCTCTTGCTTTCAGTGTACGTGTTCGTTGGCGAACATATTCTCCTGGTTGACTTTGTGGAACATATGTACGTCTCCGGCTACCTGTCCACTGGAAAATACGCCATCATAGCAGTGGATGAGGAAATCTACGTACCCGATGTCAACCCTGAGTGGTACATGGTAAAAGGTGGGTAAATACCTGGTGAATACGCGGTGAAAGGTGGGTACTGGGTAACTTTGCGGTCAATGCGTGGCAAAAGGTGGGGGGCTCAGTGCCACTGCGAGTGAGAGATGTGATGGAATACAGGCCAAAAGATAAGTTGTCTAACGATGCAGCGCAAAAGGCACAGGTCGCCCAAGTGAACTTCTTTTCAATTAATGATGGGTATGGAATGCCCTATACGGAATGCAGCAAGCGCTGTTCCGTCGACATTTTACTGTAAACATTTAGAATCGTTGGCCAGTCGAGCGTTATCACTCCATAGATGGGTATCCGTTTGGTACCGCCCATTCCCATTACTCATTTACGATGCACGGTGGAAAACCAAAGTTTGTCCTCCCTGCGTTGGTGCATGAGTGCGTTGCTGCGTTGTCCCACTTTTCTGTCCGAATTACGCAGCATAATTAACCAGTGTGCAGTGGCGTGGCTTCGGACGTCGTGTCCAGACATCTGGATGGTTGGATTCATGTGTATCCGGGGTGCAATTTCATGCACTGGTATCACAGGCCACTGATGAAGGTGTTTAATGAGATCTCAGCGTGCGTGATTTAAATTAAATGCTGCAGATGTGCGTTTAAAATGAAATTTAAACTAGAAAATGTGTTAGTTGTTGAAGAGACAATGGAACACATTTCTTTCATCTTGTATGTCCCTGCAGTGACACTGCCTGAAAAAGCCTGCGCCCAATCTTTTAACCCGCGCCCCGTTGGGCTCTGCCGAGCAACGCGCCCTGTTGGGGGGGGGGCATTTTGCTCCCCCCTAAGATCTCGAGAACCACGCAGCCTAGCGACAAGCGGCAAACGGTGTTGGATAGCCCTATCAGGGAACTACCTTGTGACCCAATTTTATTGACCTAGGTCAAACCGACGACGTCACAGGTCAGGTCAAAGTTCTAATTTTCACCGTTTACAGGCATTTCAAGAAATGCGTTGTAAAATCGAGTAAAATGCATTTCATTGAAAATCATCGATGGGGAAATGTTCTTCAAACACATATTTTGCTATTTGAGGTCACTGATACCAGGTCAGGTCACAGAGGTCAGGTCACGGGGGGGGGGGGGGGTCACAATATGAAAGTGTCGTGTGATACATGTTTTATGGTCCATTTTACATGACAAATGCGATTATGTGGGTCAGGCAGCCTTTGGGGCCAGCTTAGGTCACGTTTTAGTCAAGGTCAGGTCAAGGTCAGGTCAAGGTCAGGTCAAGGTCAGGTCAAGGTCAGGTCAAAGTAGGTCAAATTTCAAAGTTAATATTCTTGCATAAAATGGGTATCGAATCGATGCAGCTCGTCACGGGGAGTTCAATGGTGGTCTTTTTTTGCCGTACGTGGTCTAGAATCGCTAAAAATTGAGCTAAAAAATTTGACGTCATCATTTTTGAACAGTTTTTTCGCTATAACTTGGCCAAAAAACGAGATATCGATCTGAAATTTTGTATGTATATAGAAGAGCGCAGGGACTATCACATATATTCCGTTTTTCGAAATTCGGGAAAATTTTGGATTTTTTAGTTTTTTTCTAAAAAAAAATCAATTTTTTGAATTTTTCGGGGTCAAAAACCCAAAATTTTAAAATCCGAGATAGCAGTTTTGTAGCGCCGCTGTTTGTCTACTAGACCATATAAAGAACTTTGAAATTGCTTGATAACTGTAGATTTGGTGAGCGTTTCAAGATTGCATGTTTTTTGCTCATTTTTGCTCGAACATGACCTCAGCTTGACCTCAATAACTCCTGACCTAAGGTGACCTAAGACTTGAAATTTGGTGTGAAGGTGTCAAATTGATGCCCGTGAAGGTACTGAAAATTTGGCGGCGCTACGCGCCGCCGTTTTCTTGCTATTCAGGAAAACCACAGGGGGGGGGGGGGGCCAAAATGGCCCCCCAACGGGGCGAGGGTTAAAGTGCCGTACTATTCTATTCACGCATTTAGTAGCATGTATAAAAATACCGGTGCTACAATAGCAATGACGTATCCGAGTCAAGACTGAAACAACTCTTTTCGCAGTCAAGAAATCGCATGCGAAAGCCTATTCAAATACATGGAAGCACGCTCGCATCAATCGCACGCACCTCCCGCATGCGATTGATGCGGGAAGAATAATTACGGAGCGAGCGAAGCGAGCGGAGTCTCATACTGAATTAAGGGAAAATCCTGAGTATGAGCGGCCGGCCGGCCGTGGGGACGCTCTTCAAAAGCTAATATCTTAGGAACGGGACATCCGATTGACAAGCGGTCTTCTTTACTGAATGTCACTTGGACGTAAAAGTTCTGTGGTGTGATGGCCACCATGCGTTCTTGCCAATCACCGCACGTGGCGCGTGGTAAAGTTGGACATTTTTTAAGAACCCCCAAAATTGCAACCTCAATAACGGCACAACGGTTGGGCCGATTGAATTGAAACTCGGTACACAGTTAGGTCTCCATCAGATAATTCATCTGCATGTGTTAAGGTTGGGGTGCTACAGCACGTGCGCACGTGCAGGGGGCGCTCCCAGATCTCGAGAACGGCTGGGCCGATTGCGCTCAAATTTGGTACACGGTTGGGGACCAATTAGTAGGGTGCCGTGCAAAAGTCAGTTTGGACCCCGCTTGCACGTGCGCACGTGCAGTGTGCCGCTTCCAGATCTCGAGAACGGCTAGGCCGATTGCGCTGAAATTTGGCACATCGCTAAAGACCGGTTAGTAGGGTGCAGTGCACAAGTTAGTTGGAGGTATCCCCTTGCAATTTCGCACGTGCAAGGCCCATCCTCTCGCTCGCTCCGTTGGTCGCCCAAAAGGCGTTTTACTGGTAGTGTATTTGAATAGGCTCTCGCATGCGATTTCCTGAACGCGAAAATAGTATTTTTCAGGTTCAAAGGGAATATTAACGAAACCGTCATTATAAGATGGACTTAAAGGCGTTGAAGCAATTACGTATTTGATAGCCATTATTTCCAGCTGAATTGCAGGCAATGCTGCCAAATCCTTGCTACGGGATTTGAAAGACTGGACCTGTGAACGAAAAAACACGAACATTTTGGTGTTACGTGCGAACGGTACCTTCATTGACATGTTTTGAGCATACCCAAGCTTATCCCCACTCGAGAAATCACGAGTAGTGCCACGTCCGTTCCTGTCATTGACGTTAGATCCCGGGGCTGAGCTGCAGTGGTAGACTGTGCCGCACTACATACCTGTAATGCGGCGCAGTGCACGTACAGGAAAACGGCTGTGGCGCGCGCCGGCATAATATGTAGGCGAACGTATGTGGCGTAGAGATGCTACAGCTTTGCAGATTGTGTTCGTTTGCACCGTTGAAATTTATCTAATTTTTAATTTATCTTGAAATTTATCTTGAAATTTATATAAGGGTACTACTAAGATAGACTGATTAATCTACTTCATGTCTTCGTAAGTCACCAGTGGATTACAGTTATCTCTTCCATTATTTATCTACGTTGAATTTCTGTTCGTATGCTTCATACTGAAGGCATTGAAATCCCCGCATATCCAAGCTTTATGTTGCGTGGCTTTATCGTTTTTTTTTTTCGAATCAATCCGTTGGTAAAGTTTCAGTCAACAGCTAGGTATGTTTTCATCTGCTAACTCCCGGATGGCACCTCACCTCCATCTTTCCGTTAACCCTATTCCTGGCGGGCTCCGCCGAGACAAGAAACTGGCGGGGGGGGGGGCGATTCGGCCCCCCTTCAGATCTCAAAAACTACACATCGCAGCGACAAACAGCGAACGGCGTTTGATAGGTCGTTTAAAGATCTACAACTTTTACATAAAACATTTTCAGGTCAGGTCAATATTGAGGTCACCAGAGGTCATCAACGATAAAATGTTTTGGAATTAGTTACCTATATAACTTTTAAACTAAGAAACATAGAGACATAAAACCAATACATTTTTTGTTGCTCTCGCCGAGGCGATGCGAAATAAGTATGTGATGACCTTCACAGGTCAATTTAAAATTTGACCTGAGGTCAAGGTCAGGTCATTCATCAATGAGGTTGTGGGGTATGGTCATGCTGCATACCAAACGACGCGCCTTGACCAGGCGAGCAGTTTGGTACCACTTACAAGTCTTGAGCACCATCATGTCGTGATTTATTGGCAGAAAAACGACTTATGACGTCACATGACCTCAGATGACCTTTGCCGGTGCCCCTGTCAATTAGCGGCACCAGGATCATCACCGATGAGATAATCTTCCATAATACTGAAAGAACTGGGTGGTTTTGACTCGCTTACACGAAGCAGGAGGCGTTTCAATATTTTCCCATAGGCTTGCAATGTAAAGGTCACGAGTCTGGCCTGACCTCAGGTCACAGATATGAAAATTCTGAGATATACAAATTGCACATACTGGTACCCTAACTAAAGCCTGAAGAGAAGAAATTGATCGGTCAAAAACTCTAGCTCTGGCGTGATTGCAAACTTTTCTGAGGTAGGGTCACCAAACCGCCTCTGGTGACCTGACCTGAGGTCAGATCAACTCAAAATTTTCAGAAATGTTGCGTAAAAGCCTTTTAGAAAAAGTCAGAAAATTTGAGCTTCCTAGCTGAAAGCGTTTGGGAGATATAACCAAAAAACCTCAGGGGGGCTCCTGAGTTCCCCCCCCCCCCCGCCAGGAATAGGGTTAAGCTCCCCTCTTAGCCGGTGGACCTGGGTCTTATTTTCTGCTAAACCTCACTGACCATCCTCCTCCGTCCCATACCGTCAGGCCGGGTCAGGGCCGGCTCTTATCCCAGAGCCCGGTCTATTCCTGCCACCGCGCCGTCCCAGGCCCCGGCATATGCAAACGATCTGTTGGAAGGAGGTCCGCCACCCATGTCCACTCCGAAATGGGACGGGAAATGTGTCCATTCTCTCTCTCTCTCTCTCTCTCTCTCTCTCTCTCTCTCTCTCTCTCTCTCTCCTCTCTCTCTCTCTCTCTCTCTCTCTCTCTCTCTCTCTCTCTCTCTCTCTCTCTCTCTCCCTC